TTAGTGTGTAGCTGGGATTGCTGAAGAGCTGATCAGTGTCCTCAGCAGGTGGTTGCTCCCACTTGGCAGAGGATACTCCAATCAAACATTGTCACAGCTAAATCTGTCAGTGTGTCTGGGTTTAAGCTGCAATGCACACTTAAAAAACCAAATGCAAACTACAAGAGCACCATTTGGTTGGGCAAGAGGAGTATGGACCATACTGGATGCTATGGAGATGGGCACTTGGTGTGACCATATATTTGTTCAGTTGCTTAGCCAGCATGTGGCAAAAGAATCAAAAAATGAATGATTATTCTGCTGGTGATAGACAACATTTATGAGTGCTAAGCTATGCATATTAAAGGGTGTTGGCTCTTGACTCTTCACCTAGTCAATGATTACTTAAGCATTCCTTCAGTACTGTGAATTCAAAAGTAATGAGTTTCAATGGGTTAATCTCTGTAAGTAGAGCTGTACAAATTCACTGCTTCAGAAAGGATATTCAAAGGATATCAGTAAACAAGGATCTATGCGAAAGGACAGAACAGATCAGTGGAAGTACTCTTGAGAGGTAAGGGGAAGTTAGAAATGACATCAATTGAGCCATTACCCTCACCCTTGCCATGCTGTTTGGGTTTTCTTCAGCAGCAGAACATGGAACAGTATGTTTTTTTGGTGCATCAGATGAAAGTTTACATAAAGAGAATGATAGGACCTGACTATTCTGCCTGAATAAGCCCAGTTCTAATGAACAGCTCCCAGTTTATTGGAAGAAGATATTCTGAAAACATATTTTGCAAGTGGTGGGAGAATAAAACTATTTTAATTAAACATTTGGATTTTAAATTGGAGGTGAGTGAAACAGCAATGTTCTGAATGACTTTGTAAAACTTTAATAACATCCATTTTTTGTGATGCTGGATTACCTCTGGCTTTGACATCACGGCTTCATAGAGTTCACCTGAAGCCTTTCTACCTATGAAGTACCTGCGTGCATCTGTAAGCCCTCAGTGCCATGCTTGAAGCTGAGAATGCTAAAAACTTTTAAGCTGTGCCTGAGGAGAGGGAGGCAGCAAGATATATAGGGTGCAGGCAGTGGGACAAGGGCTGACATGGAGGTGTTGGCTGTGCAGAAAGGTTGAATGGGGCTGTTGTATTTCTGTGGTGAAGCAGCAGCATAGGGTTAGTACTTGGGGACTGCTCTGTGCCCACCAGTGCCCAGTCCTGAATTTGGAAGCCTCTTCGAGCTTCTTCATGGCTTGACTGAATTTTGCTTCAGTTTCTTTATTGTTGATGGAGATGAAGACTGCACAAGACTTCAACTTGAATATCTCTCCTGGTGGGTGAGTGCAAAAATATATTAGTTCTAAACTGTAGCCTAACACCAGAGCATAACACCTGTGTCATTCTGTGAGACCCCAAAAAAGGGCTTAGATTTAGAATGTTTGTTTTGATTCCCAACTACTTCAGTATTTACATCACAGTTCTCCACAGCAGTCTGTGTAAAACTTGAATCAGGCAGGATTTCCTCTATAAGGGGAGGCAGTTGTTGATCACTCATTTGAAGTCTCTCAAGGGCATCGTGTGGACAAAATGGGAATAGTTAAGAAAAAATGCCTGCTGCTCCATTGAGATCAGTAGCTGGCAGGAGACTCTGCTTGTCTGTCAGCATGGGTGAGTGTAGGAGAACCAGAGTCCTGATCAGAGGCATCCCAGTGGCTGCTGCTGAGTAAAAGGCCTAAGGGGAAAAAGTATTTAGCACATAAACTTGTAGATTGGAATCTCAAGTGCCTTAAGTACATGTCTTATTGCAGTAACTGCAGGGCAAGGCTGCAATAGGGAGGCTGATGTGAGAAAGTCAGACCTTTGTGTCTGAGTACAGGATGGAAGGCTCAGGGGAACAAGCCCTTCTACCTTTGTTCTCAGAAGGATAGTGCTTAGAAGCAGATGTCTATTCCAACAGAGCCCTGGAAAAGCAGGGTTATATGTGATGGCTAATAGAGTCACAGAGCTCTCTGCCTTTTGGGTTAACCCAAACCTGTTGGTAGAAATGCTGCATCTGAGCCATTCCAGTTCAGCCTAGGAATAAGTAGCCTGCAGCAGCTCACTGCTGCTTTGGGACTACTTGGGGAAAGGTGTGAAGATTCCATTGCAGGGAGCTCTAACCTGGCAGGCAGGAGGCAAATTTGATGTAAAAGGTACATTTATGATCTTAGTTCTGTCCTTGTTGTGTAAGGTGATTATCCTCTTGTCTTTGCATGATTATGCCATATATTAGCCTTCCACAACCTAAGACCTGTGAATTATGTAATGAAGGAGTGCTTGGTTGGGAATGGGCAACGTGAGCTTCAGATCTGGTATATAAGGACAAGGCAGAATATGCCCTGGAAGACAGAAAGAACAGTTTTAGTAGGAAGAGGGCAAAAGACCCTGAAGAATTAGCCAGCATCAATGCTAAATCATATGGAACTGCTATAAAACAGAAATTTATGAAGGATAGCCCACAGTAACAAATAGATCTCACTACCTTTTTTCCTTTTGTAAGTGGAAGGAATGGATAAACTCACAGAATTAGTTCTGGACAGCAGTAGTATACTTTTTGTGTTGCTTTTGTCCTAGTTTTCTTCAATGCAAGCTCTCTTGGAGTAAATAACCCCAGCTAATTAGCTGCTCAGAGGATGATGAGTCTGGATATTCCTGCAGATGAAAGCTGAAGTTGCTGCCTGCTGTTCTTAGTGACAGCTGGGGGAAGTTAGCACAGTTATACCCAAGGATTTAAACAGTCATCTGGCTAATTAGGTATGAGCACAGACCCCAAGTGCTAAGGCTTCCCACAGGTGAACCATTTGCTGTTTGTTACACCACCTTTCTGTGAGCTCCTAGGGAGAAGGAAAAGCTATGTGATGCATTGGGGACCCAGCAACAGCTGGATGGGAGCACATCACTTGCTGACGTCTAAATGTGGCCTGGCCCCATGGTAGGCTGCTGGGAACAGCTCTGGGAAGCAACTGCAAAAACAGATCTTGTGCAAGAAGGCAGGGTACCTGATCCTGAAGTGTCAGCCCAAGTAGCTGTCTTAGGGTCTTCTGTATGCTTCAGGTGCTTCCACCTATGTGATCAGTTGTGGGCACCTTCGTTAGGTTGTCATATAATGGGTGGATTAATAATGGGACCTCCGCTGTCAGCCCCCCCAAAAAAAAGCCACTGATGGTTCACTCTATGCAGCAATAGGGTATGATAACAATATTTCAATTCTTGGTTACTAATACCTGTTTAAATATGGTAATGTTATCGCAGGGGGGTTGGACTCGATGATCTCTGGAGGTCCCTTCCAACCCCTACAATTCTGTGATTCTGTGTGACTTTGGGTTCACACCCTCTCCTTTAGTTTTCCTGGGTTTTCCCTGACCCTGGCAAGTTCCCTATCTCTGCAGCACACCCACACACCACTGACAGAGCAGTTCAGATGCTCTGACCTCAGCCCAACACTGCCTATCCGATTGCACCAGGACTCCTTCAGCTCAAAACCTGCAGTTGTGTTTAAACAAAGTTGTGAAAATTGTGACGTGTCTGACTGTGCCACAGTGGGGTGGCTCATACAGGTGTAGCTCTACTCCTTGCTGGTTCTGAGTGAATCTCAGCATTCACATAACGTTTCATAGCTAGAACTGGCTAGTGGACCTTTATGACACTGGGAAATGAGCATGATGCTTTTAATGGCCCTATAGCCCCTCTCTCCAGAAGTGCTGCTGCTGGGACTGCAATGCTACCCAAGCTCCTAAACAGCTGCATTTGGCAGAGGTCTGGAGGTTAAAAGCAGCCTCAGCAAACACCATAGTCAGTTCAGGTGATGGCTGCACTTCAGAGCTGGGGCTCAGAAGGAGCACCGTTGCAAAAACTTCACTGTTTGAGTAATGAGATGGGACAGGTGTGGAGGGAGAGTGGGCATCTGCAGGCTTCTGTTCTGTCTCTCAGCTGCTGCAGGGGAAACAAGAGCTGTTGGGTTCTGCTGTGCCACAGCCAGAAAGGCAGTTTGGACTGCACACAGAATGCAGGATAGACTGTGTGCCCACAAAAGAGGTCATGAAGCTTGTGGGAGTCGAGCAGAAGGTTGAGGGGATTATTGTCACCTGAGATTGCTCTCTCTGCTGCAGCAAAACAGAATGCTTGGGGCTGGCAGGCAGCTGGGAGCTGTGCCTGGGGTGTGCAGTGAGCTGGAGGGCTCTTCTTAAGGTTAGTGCACTCACCCAACAGCTGAGCACGCAGCACTGAGCTCTTCAAAGGCTCTTCAGAGGTGAAAGAGAGAGCAGAGTCCTGAGGTCAACCCTTCTCTGGTGCTCTTGCATGATGAGGCAGCAAATCTTCACAGGTGCACAGCAACAAGGCAGGCAGCCGTGGAGAACCATGCAGTCCAAGGCAGGAGCTGATGGGTTAACATGTCAGCACTGGGCTGGGGTCACCAAGGGGCTGGAGGGACAGCCCAGATGAAACAAAGTACCTTCTGCCTAGCTGGAGTGCAGATAAAAGATCCCATGGCTTCTCTTGTGAAGCCTGGAGGAGACTGCCAGTGCTGAAGCCAACAAACAAAACTGTCTTTAAACTCTGAGGCTGTGTGTGAGCTATTGTTGGGGACATAATAGCTTCTCTGTTTCCCTGCACAGCAACTGCTCTGCAAACACACCAGCAGTCTCTTTTAAAAGTAGTTGAGTGTAAATCAAGTTCTGAACCTGGAAAGAGGTCTCATCCATTTACCTTTCACTGACCTTGGTTGACATTTGTTTACAGAACGGCACATACAGCACAGTGACACCCTGATTTGAGTTGCCTTACTTGGAAGCAGACACCTTTTGTGCTCTGAGACTCGCAGATAAAAGGCTTGGATAGAAAACGGATATTCCCTTATTTGAAATAAGCAGAATGGGAGTGAAGCTGAGGGGCAGCGCTTGCCAATCTCCTCCCTTTGAGGAGTGCTTTATTTTAGCTGGCCTGGCCTGTTTCCTCCTGTTAGGTCAGCATTGGCACACTCATTGCCTCCTTGCTCTGCAAGGCACCAAGTGCTGCTCTGACTGCTGGAGGTTCCTCTGCTTTGGGCAGCTGCATAGCCACAGAGGCTGGGGTTGGTGGATCTGCTCTTCGCTCCCAATGCCATGGATTGGTTTGCCTATGAGGACAGCAGGTGCTTTGGTAAGGTAAAGGGTATCTTGGCTATTGCACAGATATAGTAGTCATGGTTATAACTGCACTGAACCGGGGGGGGGTTGGTCCCTGAAAAAGCTATGTTGAATTTAGGTCTTTTTTGCTTGAATAGTCCTGTGAGGGGAAAGGAAATGGGTCAAAGAGTAGACATTATTCATGAAGTGTCAGTCCTAGCAAGATGTCATGACTCTCCATCCCCTCAATTGCTCTCAACTTATTCTGATGTGTGTCTGGAACGCCCTTGCTGCAGGTCTGCTCAGTGTCCTATGCTCACCCATTGGTGAACAGTAACCCTGTGCACCCCAAGAGCATCTTTGTGCAGGATGGAAAAATATGGAGATGTGAGCACTGGCAATTGCCTTCTAGAAGTGGCAGCCTTAAGGGAAAGCTGCTCTAGCCAAGAATCCTGAGCAGGAGAGTGTTGTGCTCATGGCCAAATAGCTTTGGCCAAGGTGACGTGTTAGTGACTAGGATGTGTGTTGTAGTGATCAGTAAGGTTAAAGCTCTCCATTTTTTCATTGGAGATGATGCGACTCAAAAACTAACACAGACAGTTTGTTACCTAAGTCATTGCTGCTGGCTTTTTCATTTCAGGGACTTTAATACTTTCGAGCTGTTACCCAGGGGCTTCCAGGAGTCTCTGGATTGCTCAGTGAAATAGACTACTCTGCAAATGGTGTGGCAGTAAGGGGTAAAGGGGAAGCTGGTCAAAACTTTGGAGTTGTTACAACAGTTGTCCTGCACAGGGAAACCATAACAGCAGTGCTCAGAGGAAAGGTCTTGATATGAATCTGAGCATGGACATCTATGAGAGGTCCAAGGAAGGAGGTAGCTGCTTACTGCCTGCAGCTCAGCAGTCCATAGAAACTCACTGACAAGCAAGGGCTGGAAAAACAGGAAGAACATCACTGTGATGTACCTTTCAAGGCCAGAATTGGGCTCTCACTACCTCTGGTCACTCCTTCCAAAATCACCATCCATCAGCAGAGCTGCCAGCTGCTGGGGAAAGAGGAGATGGAAACAGTGGATATGGAAGAAGACAGACGACAAGCCTCCTCTTGTTCCTGATCACCTTCTCCCTAGCAGCCCCAGAAACAGCAAGGTTGATGATCATGTCTCTTCCCACAGAAAGATGAGGAAGCGCTTTGTGGTGACTGGGGTCCTGACTGCAGTCCTGCTGGGGCTCATCTTGTTCCTGGCACTCTTCTTTGGGCTGCGCTCGGACTCAGAGGATGCACACATCTATAAAAGGGCAGCTGTGGCTACGGATGCAGGACCGTGCTCAGTAATTGGAAGGTAATCACTAATTCTGCCACTGTTCTTCTTATCTGTGAAGCTCTTGCTTGAGACAAGACAAAACTGCTCTGTTTCACTGATGCACAGATGCAACCTTGGCAGCTGCACTCAGCTCCCTATAGAATGAGGAGGCTGTGAGTAAACCTGGGCCCTTACCATTCCCAACTAATGTTAATGCAGTCACTCAAAGGCAGTACAGTAGACAAAGATTCCCTAGGCACAGAAACAATAGGGATGGGAGCTGCTTTTCAAACTCTTTTAAAATACTTTTGTTAAGCCATCCTCCAGTTCTAGATGTACATGCTGCAGATTTCAGGGCTCCTTCTTCTCATGTATGATGGATGTGGCTGGAATGCCAGCCTCCTCCAGGTACTATGACACATCTTGCTGCTTTCAGGCTAGTTTGAATGTCTTTAATGAAGGTCAGTCTGGTCTGTACCCAGATCATTAGATTCTCTTATTTATGGTGATAGAAACCCAAAACTGTTTGTGGGGAACCCATAGATCAGGTCGGATAACTGGGCATTAGGAAAGATTTGCTGTATATCTGCTCTGATGAGGTGACTCCAGAGCTCACAAATAGCTGAGACACTGTGGCGTGTTGCCGTAAGATGCTTTTCTTCTGCTGCACAGGGACATCCTTCAGCAAGGTGGATCTGCTGTGGATAGTGCGATTGCAGCACTGCTCTGTGTAGGACTCATGAACGCTCACAGCATGGGCATTGGAGGAGGGCTCTTCTTTACCATCTATAACAGTGCAGGTAAGCGACAGGCCTGTACACATCTGGAACAGTTCTGCTCCTCCATTTAAAACACAAAGGGGTGATTTATGCTACCTGAGTTAAGGTACCGACTCTCCCAATCTCTGAGGTTGTCCACAGAATAACTGCCAAGAAACTGCTTCCCAGTGATTGGGCTTATTCTGCACAGACTGTGACTGGTGCTGAGTTCTGAGCTAAACGTGATCTTCTTCCTCTGTCTTTAAAGGAAATGTGGAAATCATTAATGCGAGAGAGGTGGCTCCTAAAAGAGCAACAGAAGACATGTTTGGGAACAACACACAGATCTCTCAGAAAGGTAAAGGCAAAGGCTCTTTCCAGTTCCCTTTATGGTGACTTCTGGAACTGAAGAGGAATGGAGCCTTGGGGAAGGGCTGAACTTCTGGGAGATGCTGGTAAAAACAGGATTGAAGCAAACTGCTGTATCATGGTGCAGTGTAGACAGTCTATTGCAATTGCTGCTGCAGTGTGACAAAAGAAATTTTGGTGTGTGCATGCGTGGACATTGCCAATGTACATATAGCTGTGCCCTCTTACTGTAGTGTATTCAACTCTGAAGGACTGGGAACTGCAGGCAGGTATGATGCCTTCTGTGCTCTGAGTAGCTTTGCACTGATACAGAAAAGTGAGAAGAATTGCCCAAACACTTGAGTTACCAGCAAGAGGATAGAGGTGTCAATAATCCTGTTAGCATCGCATGCATGGGCTGAACCAGTGATAGTATGCACAATCCCTGCTTAAAACCAAGGCCAACAGATAAGCCCTCCTCTGCACTACTGCTTTTTCTTTTTTGTTTTCTTTTTTTTTTTTTCTTTTCCTTGCTACTGAAGTCTTACACATTTCTTCTCTGCTCCAGGAGGACTGTCCATTGCTGTTCCAGGAGAAATCCGTGGCTATGAACTGGCACACCAACGTCATGGCAAACTGCCTTGGAGAGACTTATTTCTGCCCAGCGTCAAGTTGGCAAGAGAAGGATTTCCTATTGGGAAAGGCCTTGCATCAGCCATGAAATCTAAACAACAGTCAATTGAAAGCAATCCTTTACTGTGGTAGGTAGAGCAGTTGCGTAGAAAAAGCTGACTGAACAGAGATGGAGCTGAAGTAATTTCTGGGATAAATCTGATGGCAGTGTTTGAATCCCTGGCCTGTCCTCATGCTCTGAGCAGCCTAAGTTAATCCTACCTGTCTTTTGGGCAATTGCAAAGCATGTTCCTCTCCCTGAATATCTCATCTGTTGTCAGAGTGTGAGTTTTTGGATCATCTCTTCCTCTGCAGTCAGCCTTCCCAAAGCAATGCCTCTGATCATCCACTTCTGGCAATGATTATGAGCATGAAGGGTTTTAAATGCACTTCTTCTTGCAGTCCCATGGTGCCTATGTCCAGCTCTAATTGATATCATGCTTACTCTTTTCCTGCCAGCTGCAGGAACCAATCGGTTTGTAATGTAAATGGGATGCCTGTGCTCCTTTCTTCTGGCAGGCCCACAGCATCAATTGCATCCGTGATCGCTGATGAGGGAACGAGACAGGGATCTGTCTATTTGAAAGTGCTCCATTAGGAATCCAAATGCATTCTCCTGTACTCACTGGAAGCTTTGAGCCTTGTAGCTTCAGAGCCTGTGCTCTGAGCTGAATTGCTTGGCTTCAAGGACAGTGCTTCCTCATCACAGAATTGAATCACAGAATCACTCATGGGTGTCTTGAGGCAGTTGTTAACCCAAGGAACAGGCAGGGAGAGTGGACTGCCTTGACAGACAGTCAAGGAGACCGACACTCCTTCTGCAGGCTTCACTGAGCAAATTCTGAGAATTCACTGCTTGCTTTTATGTTCCTATGAAAGATATCAAGACCCGTGGGTTGTAGCTCAGGCGGTTCCTCTTCTCTCCAGGATGACAACATGAAGACAGATTTGACTAAATCTCTGTTGGCTGATACAGGTACACATGGTTTTGAACGTGTCTCTCACATCTGGTCTTCTTAATCTCCTTTCTCTGTCAGTGAAGTGTTCTGCAAAGATGGGAAAATCCTGCAGGAGGGCGATATTGTCAAGATGCCTAAACTAGCCAACACGTACCAGACTATAGCTGATGAAGGAGCAGATGCCTTTTACACAGGAAGCCTGGCAGATCAGATCATCGCTGACATCCAGAGTGTAGGTGAGAAACAGAACGTCTGTCTAAAATAGCGTGAGTGACCTGAGTGCTACAGCTTGGTGTGCAGAGAGGAGCTTTGACCTGCAGAAGCCTTGGAAGCAGGTCATGCCTGCTGCCTGATATCCCACCTCTGAGGTCTGTGGCAACAGGAGGCACAAAAGAAGCCACCAGTACTTTAATGGTTGCATTTGCAACTCAGTCAGAAATGGAGAGTATATTCTGTATATTTCTATACCGTAAGTCTAAAAGGCCTATGTGTTCCTGGACGTAGTAGAGTAGACACATGGAGCCTGACTCCATCGAGCTTCTACCTCAAACAATACATACATGGTCCCGTATACTCTCAACGTGTTTAATCTCAGTACCACTAGATGGTGGTAGTATCCTATTTTACTAGCTAGCATTCCTTAGCCTCAGTGAATTTCACGTGTACAGGTCATTTCCTGGCTTTATTTGTGGTGGGTAATTACTGTCTTCCCCTTTCTGATAAGAAAAGCATTGGAGCATACATGTTATTCTGCTTGTGGAGTAGCACAAGGCATCTGCACTCAAAAGCTGCATCCTTCTCCTGTAAGCAGGGTTCCTAAAGGACATCTTGTTCCTTGACATTGCTGATGTCCTTTATAGAAATAGATGGATCACCAGCCTTTTGGCTGCTGTAAATTAGTCCAGCTTCGATACTAGGCTGTCTGAGCCTCAGATGGATCTATCAAGGAATAAATTCTCCACCTGTGCAACTTTCTGGATTTATCTGTGACCCCTTCTGTTCTTGCTGTGATGTGTGGCAGTAGAGTATTACCTTCTCTTCCCACCAGGGATCACAAAATCAAATCTATGGTTTCCTTTTCTGTTGTAGGGGGCATTATCACAATGGAAGACATGCGGGACTATAAAGCAACAGTAGAAGACCCTATTGAGGTCAAGCTTGGAGACTACACCCTATACACACCTAATGCCCCCCTGAGCGGCCCGGTGTTAGCCCTCATTTTCAACATACTGAAAGGTAAGAGTGCCACTGAGCAGTGCCATACAGGCAGTAGGAGTAGAGACCAAGTTTCAAGATGGCCCCACCTGACAGTTGTATTAGCGCCCCATGGAGTACGTCTTTTCCTTTGTGTTCATAATGGTTTGTCTTCTGTTGCCAGGATATAATTTCTCTGCTGACAGCATCAAAACTGTGGAGGAGAAAGGTCTGACTTACCACCGCATCGCGGAGGCCTTTCGCTTTGCCTACGCCAAGAGGACTTTGCTGGGAGATCCAAAGTTTGTCAACGTTACAGAGGTACCTGGCAAAAGCCTTTTCTTTCTACAACACCCAGGCTGACTGGAACATGACACTTTGGTTTTGGGTGACTAAACAGGCACTGAAATATCTCTGAATATCAAGTGGCTAAGCTGTGAGGGATATAAATGGAGGAAACTTTTCTGCTATTAGGAAGCACAAAATCCTCAATTGACCAGGAGCACTTGAGTTTGGTCAGGGCTAACCCTCCCTGTTTTTTTTAGTCTTTGGAGCCTTATTCAGTAGATGATACTCCCAGCACCCCTGTAGCTCTCTAGCCACAGTCCTGCCTATAGTAAGTGGACCTACGGATGGGAGGGGGTGAGGCAGGATCCCTGCTTTTCCCAACTTCATACTTTGTGCTTGTACTTCGTGAGTCTCCAAAAGCAGCAGGATCTGAGCACAGCCCAGCCTGATGGACACAATTTGCAGCTTACCACGCAATGACCAGAGCCTTGGTCTAGTCCTCTCAACCTGATCCCTCTTCTCTCATCTCTGAAGCAAGTGTAGCAGTGCTTGCCTACACCTTTACAGCAGTGTTGAGGACAGCTTTCCTTAGATCTACAGTAACGGATACTGATTAAATTCCCACACAGAGGGGTGCATTGTGCAGCTTCTTCCGTGACTGCTTAAAATGCTCTTTGGTACAATGTCCATCTTTCAAGAAGAAGGAAAACCCCTGCTGGAAAACTATAGCCTCACTGCTGGGATTTGCCACTCTTCTATGGTCTGAAGTGTTGGATATCAGCCTCGTAACTACATGGCTCTTAATCTGCTGAGTAACTGCATTGGATTTCTCCGACAGGCAATCAGAAACATGACGTCCGAGTTCTTTGCGGATAGTCTCCGAAGGAAAATCACAGACAACACCTCCCATCCAATTGAATACTACGAGCCAGAATATTACACTGCAGATAGTGCCGGCACATCCCACCTCTCCATTGTGGCTGATGATGGCAGTGCTGTGTCCGCCACCAGCACCATCAACCAATAGTATGAGCTCAGATCTTGCTTCTGTGTAGGCCTCTGCCATCTTCCTAGTGGTGGTTCTGTAGTTGGTATGAAACATCACTGAACTGTCATCTCTGTAGCAGGGCAGTGATGGGTAGCACTGTTAATAGGCACTTGTAGTGCTGAGCGTGTAGGTCAGTTCTTATTGCTGAGACTTGTGTAGTTGGGTCAGAGCACAAGATGTGTGAAGTGGGATTCTGTCCTCTGTTGTGTTGGGTTCACCCACCAAGGAAACATCCACTGCATCTGGGTTTTCCCATAAGCACTGTTATCGCTGCAGGCTCTGATTTTCCAGGCATCTGGAAGGAATTTGAGTTAATGCAGCTGGCCTGAAAGTGCAGTGTTTGGCTTCGGGTGCTGTCAGGAAGAGCTGTGTTCTGTAAATATGGCCTAAAGCTGGGGGGAAAGAGGGGAGGAAAGGGAGGAGGGTTTTTTCCTGTCCTTAGAAAAAGTCTCTTGCTTGACACATCTAAGCAAAATGCCAACCATTTCCAAATGTGGCTGCCTTTGAGTTATGTTGCCTCTGAAAGGAGTGCAGGACTGCCTGGCTGGGAAGGGAATTAGTTGTATTTCTTTGCTGTAGTGTTTCTGTCTTCAGGTTCCGTGCAGGGGAGCTATGCAGCAGCACTCTGGGTCTGCCTTTCCTCTTTGTGTAGATGTGTGTTCCTGGTATGAACTGCTTCCTTCCCTGCAAAGGGTGACAGAATGTCCTTTCCAACAGAAGGGAGTGGAGATTTACTCCCAGGTTTCACATTGCAGTAATTCACCTGAAGTTCTTCCCGGTTTTGACATGTCTGTGCCAACTTGTTTTGTCTAGCTTTGGCTCTGATGTAGTATCCAGTGTGAATGGAATCATATATAATGATGAGATGGATGACTTCAGCTCACCTCACATTATCAATGGATTTGGGATCCCTCCTTCTCCAGCAAATTTCATAGAACCAGGTAGCTGCAAACTACCTCGCTATCTGATTGTTGAAGCTGTATCTTGCATTAGTATGCACTGTCAGCTGTCTCTCTGTGCTCCACTGGGATCTGGAGGGCAGCTGCAGGTAGATCCATTTCATGCCCCTAACTTAAGCTCCCTCCCTGCTCCATCACTGCTTCCTGCAGAGCCATCTCACTGCAGCTAATGTGGGCTGGGATTCTACCACCTTCCTGTACCTATGCTTTGGAAAGAGACAGGGAAGTGAGAGGACAGAAAGGGAAGTCCTGTGGTGTTGGAGAGGCAGCTGTGTGACAGACAGCCCCAACTGAAACAGCACCATAGATGAGGGAGCCTTCAGCCCCCCTGCACAGAAGATCAGGGTTAAACTTTGTATTATGGGAGCAAGGAGGAGATGTATATAGGGGACAGTGGGACACTCAGGGGATGAGCAAAACACGAGATGAGTTTGGAAAACGGATATGGAAACTTTGGGTTTAGATGTGCAGCGGGAGCTGGCAGTCTGTAAGTTACAGGCAGAAAACTGAGCCTCTGTTGAATCTGTGTCCCCAACAGGTAAACAGCCACTGTCCTCCATGTGCCCTTCCATTTTGGTGGATAAAACAAAAAAGATCAGGATGGTGGTTGGTGCTTCTGGAGGAGCAAAAATAACCACAGCAACAGCACTGGTATGTGATGATGTGGACAAAGCAAAGTTGGGGGGAGGCAGTGTTTGGGGTAAAGGATTCAAGTCTCTGCCTGTGATGTGACCGTAGCCATGGCTTCCTGCTGCAAGCCTGGGTGCTGAAAGAGAGGGTCCTGCCTGGCCTTCAGAGGACCAGACCTCCAAACCCAACTCCTGCCAAACGGACAAAGGGCCTCTCACAATTACTCCCTCCCGTGACTCTGGGTCTTTTCCTTTGGCAAGTTGTTCTTATCACTTCCAAGAGCCCAGTTACAGCCCAAGTAACAATGGGAGAAAGCTGCCTCCTTGTGCAAGTGCGCAGCCATTCACAGCGTCACACTGGGTCCTGCTTTCTAGCTGAGGCAGAGCTGAAGTTTCTGCAAGAAGTGTTACAAACAGCTTCTGAAGTTCTTGATGCTAAGGCTATTTTCACTTGCCAGCAGCTTCAAGCTGTGATCTTAGCAAGCGGGGATGGGCCAGGTTTAAGAAAACTGGTTGCACAGCAGCGAGAAGCTGTAAGTGTATGTTTACACTGAGGAGACTGCTGTGTGCCAAACGAGCCAGCAGTGCCTTACTCACAGCAGGATAAATCCAGCTACAGTAGCCTGAGGATCTGATCCTTCTCCTGTGTTCATTTTAGCCACTCATGGTCTCTTTATGAGGGAATCATCCTAAGTATATACAGCCTGACTTGCTGCAATGTACCCATGAGAGGGAGCGCTGGAAGAAGAGGGAACTACAGTTTAGATCCTCTATGTTCTCTAGAGAACATCCTTCAAAAATCTCTGCCTTTGTTGCTGCAAGGATCAAGTCTCTTTGAAGGCAAGGAGCTAACATTAAGGCTTTTTGCATCTCACAGGCAGTCATCAATTCCGTCTGGTTTGGTTATGATGTGAAGAAAGCAGTGGAAGAGCCCAGAATTCACGATCAGCTGTTTCCTGATGTCACAGAGCTTGAGGAGCAAATAGAGGAGGTTTGTCTGATTTGAGGCTGGGGTGCTTGTGGGCTTTTTGTCTGGTGCTGATCCAGAGTGTTGGGAAGACATGCGTGTGGAAAATTATTATGTGTTGCCAAATGTTCTTAGGGGAGCAGCACTAAAGCTGACAGGTCGGTACGGGGCTGTTTGAGTGTACTTTTAGTCTCAGTCCCACAGAAGAGGAACAGCTTATAGTTCTAGGAGACCTACACAATGCAGGCATTGCATGCTGGGGTAGGCGTGGAGGATTCAGGACACAGAATCCAGCCCATGTGCAGTTTCTCTCTCCTGTTGTCCTCATGCACTTGTGCGTTTCAGGGTGTAGAAGAACAACTACGGATGAGAAAACACAACACCACACGGGGGGGCAGCGGCATTTCGGTTGTGCAAGCCGTTCTCAGAACAGATGATGGATGGGCTGCAGCCTCTGATTCCCGGAAAGGTGGCATCCCTGCAGGCTACTGACCCAGCTCAGCTCTTCTTCATCAGGGCACTAGTGACACTGAGGTGTGTCTGGGAGAAAGATCCTTTAGGTCTGCAATGCAGGGACTTTAACAGGAAAGGGAGCAAATTTGCCTGTGGTTCTATTGACAGAACTGGGACTTCGCTTCTCAACAATCACAACTGAAGTGCCTTGTGCCACAGCAGTGTGCTGAAACAAACCAGGATGCGACCTACTTGGAAAGTCTTCTGCCTTGAAGAGTTTGATTCCTGCTTCCTCTCCGTCCCAGAAGTGTTTCAGCTAGGAGGAATGTCCCTGTCACAGCTAAAGAAGAGATTTCTTCTGATTTGTGTAGACAGGAGTTGCAGGACCCCGAGGACAAACTGACAGACCCGTGCCATAGGAGGGAGCTTGGCTCAAACTGGGATAAGCCTTCACAAACTCACCGCTCTTTGTTTTTTTTTTTTAAAAAAAGATGTTTTCTGCTTTTCACTTCAGCTGATTGTTGGAGATGAGTGGGTAACAGGGGAAATGGCTTCAACCTTTCTTATGTTTTCGTTGAGAAGGGCTAAAGGGAAGATGCTACCTGTAAAACTGAGCACAACTAAAACAAATAAAAATGGTGTCACATATTTTTTCTTGCCCATACAGCTGATGTTGCCAAAAGGGATGGTGAGAGCCTCCATGAACAAAGTTCTCCTGAGACTTTGTTTTCTTGTTGAAGCTATGAGTGAAAAAATACATATAGTTAAATATCCAAAACAAACCTGTTCTTTCTCCAGCTTGCTTCCTACCCCATCATACTGCAGGCCTGGATTCTGAGGAAATTAAGCCTCTAAAAAGCATGCTGCAGCTGGTCGTTTGAAGGTAAGCTGCAGTTAATCAGTCAGTGAGCTCTCAGTAATCTGTATCTGATTTGGAATGGCTAACAGTGTCAGTGCCTACACACAGGTAGGTGTTGGTGTTCTCTTACCAGCATGGACTGAAATACCACGTCGTATAAACTTTGCCTAAGATCAAGAAATGAGTGTTCCCAGATGCTGTCAGGCTTTAAGGGGTGTTTATGAAATCCTGGAAACAGTGGTAGTAGTAACTAATTGCATCTGTTTGGCTGGTGGAAACTTCCTGTCAGACTGTAAGAGGCTCAAAATACAGAATGTACTGAAGAGAAAATGAAAGCCTGAAACTGTAGGCATTACACGCTGCCTCTGTCTCAGTACTTGTTGGAATTGATGTGAGTCTTCAGTGATAGTGAGATAGGTGATGCTTTTGATAGGGTTATGACACTGAGGAATGTATGTGCTTATATAACTCCAACTAAATAAGTGACTTCCACTGAAAGGGGCCTGGGATGAACTCTGTCTTCTTCCTCAGCTGTTACTGATGAGGAGGTGTTCAGTGCAGCTAAGGCAGTAATTAATTGTGAACAATGCAGTCATTGTGTTCCTGGAAGAACAAGATTGGTGTGAGGCCAAACCTGGATGTTGTTGGGTTGTTTTCCTTTTGCAGAACTGTGACTTTGACTGTTCCACCTCTTGTAATGCCAGGTTGGCTGTTCCTCAGTGGCAGGCTGCAGTTGAAATCCAGTGTGCATGTGTATTGTAGGAAGTTTGGATACAGGGCTGTGTGTGCTGCAGCGGCAGCTGTGATACTTGCAGGAAGTACTTGGCTCTTTGGACATAAAACAAGCTGAGCTTTCTTGGTCAAGTGAGATCTGAGAAAGATAGGGGTCGCTCTGAAAGTAATGCCTCCTATTTGTTTTCATGGAAACCACAACAGATACAAAGAGCACAGTAATGCTGTTTGTTAGAGCAAATTCTCATCTATGAAGACGTATTTTTCAAAACAGTCACCACCATCAGCTGTATTTTTTCACCAGCAATGAACAACAGCCTGCACGCTGTGTTCATCAACATCTGTGCCAGTGGAGGTGATGCATTGACACAGTCACTACAGTTAGTGTAGCATGTGCTCAGAAATGGGGATAGCTGGCTTCTGGGAAGTGACAAACATGCAAAACTTCTGCTGAACTGCTTCTACCAGTTTGAGGCACATAAGTCACTCTTTCCTTCCTGAATTTACTGTATCTGGTGAGGAAACTTCCCTATTTATAACCTATTTTACAAAATTTCCCTTCTGGAAAGTTTAGTTTTCATCATGGCTAACCACACTTCTGTTTTAAATGATTATTATAAGTGCATTTGAATTCTTTGCTCTACAGAACCATTGGCTTGGGCTTTTTTTTTTATGTTTGTTTATCAGTATCGCTACAAAGGGCTCATTTATAAAACTAAACATAAAACTAAAGGCTTGAATCTACATCCTACACTTTTTTTTTTTTTAAAGCAGGCTGCACACACTCACCCATGCTGTGGCATCCATCTGCATCTCACTTGGATGTAGCTGTACATAGGGCATGCACATCTCCCAGCTGCTTTGGTTCCACATTCAGTTCATGCTGCATTGAGGCTCTGTATCAGTAGGTGAATGTCAGTGAAAGTAAGGGGGTAAGTCCTCTCTCAAACAACTGCTTGTGCTTTAAGCTAGGGAACAGTTTAAGGTTTAAAACACTTTATTAAAAATATAATTTAAAGACCTTGTTAGAAAACAGAGCAGCCTATGTACAGCAGTGCTTTAAAAGTCCGTGTGACTTGACTAGTTATAAAAATAATGCTCTTCTGTTGGCATCAGCATGAATGGGGAGGGATGAACCTGGGAGACTCTGAGTTTCTGGAGCACTGAGGAGGTGGCAGGGTGAGGAGGATGTACAGATCTCAGCTTCACAAGATGTTTTGTTTGTCAGTGAGGGCTGCCACAGTGGGCAATCTGCATGCATTCCTTTCTGCCTTGCAAATGAAATCTGTGACAGGTTCTGAAACTGCTCAATTGGTTTCAATGTTAATAGCAAAGCAGTTAAATTGCAGCAAGTGCTGGTCAGAAGATCATATTCCCGTAGCTTCCTTGTGAGACGTTGCAGTGATGGCAGTATGTTGGAAAGGTGATACGCTGCATTGGCTGGATAACTGAGGTGTGCTTTACCCTTTGGTACATCAGAAATGAAGGGAATTAGGAGAATCAGTTGCTTTATGGCTTTGTTTTTCTGGAAGTGAGACGTGATGGGGCATGGCTTAATAGCAAAGCAAGAGCTGCTCCCCCTGCCTTCAGCCAGTGCCATTTTGGTTGCTTTTCTGTAAGCTGTAAGCAGTTGGTCAAGCTAGAAATAACTGCAGATCTTGTTAAAGCCAGGATCCTGAGTAGTCTGGCTACTCTGTCTGGATCTAGAGAGCTTTACTTAGAAAATCATTGAAATTCATCTGAAGGCCAACAAGATTTCAACAAGTCAATGACTTAATGACAAAATTTTGTTGTTAAGAATGTAGACTCATTACTCACTTCTCTTTGTTTACAACAGTGCAGGTGGATGGATGGTCTGAGTTTGCTTTAATTGCCTGTGCTCAAATACTTGCTATTGGTGGCCACAGAGCAAGGTTTTTTGTTTGTGCAGTTGAAATACCAAGGGTTGCATGGGAGGTGACAATTATGGGGGGTAAGGAGGGCTCTGCTAGTGTCTACCTAGTTTAACTTTGCTGTCAGAAACGCTCATATAATACTGTCTGCATCCATAGGAAAGTAACATTCACAAGCTTTCAGAAAACAGAAGTTATTGCTTTTTTGAGAAATGTGTTGTGGGATGTTTATACTCGTTTTAACATTCGATTCCTTTGGCCATCCTAAGGAGGGCAACGTTACAGAGTAATGGCAAAGGACCTCTTCTGTCCAGATAAATGGGTTCAGGTCTCTCCTCCAGAAGCTCCCAACTAGTCATGCAGTTTCATTCTTGTCATCTTCAGGGAACATTTGAGACTATTTGTGATGAACAGAGAATTAGAGCATGTACTTAGGCTAAGAAAGAAAAGTGTTTTGCAACTGCATCAGCACTTTTCAGCAGTCTTGGTGTTTGCCTGTCCAGAAGAAGCTCATGCCTACAGAATAAGTCTTCTGATTATATATCCTTTGCATTTTGAAGAAAGTTTTATAAAGCTTCAAAAGCAATACAGTTTTTCTTCAAGCGCTGTCTTTATCTGTCTTCCCAAACTACTTCTCTTCTGCAGGCAATGAGGAAGAACAGGCATAAATGAGGACTCTCCTACTGCAGGGAGAGGTGTCATCAAGGAGCGAAGCAGCAACTTCACATTGCCCCATAGGAGGTTTAGACTTTAGGTGACCAGTAGGCAGAGTAAAATAAGGCTTCAGCTCCTGGTTTCCATTATGTCTCTAAAGTAGAGAACATGCTTGGCAGTAAGCTGGTGCAATGGTGCACTGATTCCATCTGCTATTCTTTGGGAAAAGTAAGGCTCATCTGGATGGGAAAACCAAGAGGTAGAACACCGAGTTTTGCTTTCTTCTCTTTCTAAACCCATCCTGGAAGCCCAAATGTAATTGTATACATTGTAATCCTCATCCTACCGCCATTTCCTATAGTTACTCAGTTACTTCACATTGAGAAGAAGCTTATCATGGCAACAGCCTGAAAGAAATCAATTCTGTTCTTAACCCAGGCTCTGGAGCAGCAGTGGAAGATGCATGAATCTGAATTTAGTTATCTCCTGTGGTTTGGACTAGAATAGAGATGTTGAGATGGCATTTCATGCTAATATCCAGCTGATTTCCCCAGCTTCCTTTTATCAGAGTAAGCAGAGATGCATTTTCCTTCCTTGGAAACTCCCTGCACGACATTCATTGTGAATTCAACTTTCTGTTCTTTGTGTCCTCTTTTCAGCAGGCTGTTTCTAACATCCTGCAGAAGAAAAAAAATGGAGTAAATGGGGCAGGAACCTGAGGTCTTAGCATTGCCATGTGTGGAAATGAAGTATGTATGTGCAAGGTCAGGTCAAGAGAGCACGATTCAAGGAAGAAGGAGGTTAAGCTAGAAGCAAAATGCAGATTATTCAGGAGAGTTACAGAGTCCAATCTCCTTCCCATCAAAAGGAGATGATGAAGGGAAGATCCAACCAAGGCTGCTCACCTCACTGAAGTGTTTCTCAAACAGGATGCTGTCTTTGTTGGTATGCATGATGGGAGATGAAATGGCACGTTCCAAATCATAACCAAACCACAGCTTGTTTACAATGGCCTGCAATGAAACAAATTGCATGCTAACTGAAGACACGGAATAAGAACCTGAACCACGTGTTGATGGTTGTTCTTTCTATTTTCATATTTTATAGAAAAAGTCCTGTACAGAGAAGTTCTGCAGCAAAATTGTATGCTATGTTTACAGGTTTTTTGAACCAGATAATCTTCTTTTGTTCTATTCTCTGGTATCAGCAACAGTGAAGAATCCTTTCTTCACTTCTCCAAGTCACTAGCTTTTCAGATTTCTAATGTATCCTTCACCATCATCATCTCCACCCTGAAGAGTCCTAGCCTATTTTAATCACTACAGCCCTAAGGCTGTTTCCTATCCCTGCCCCATAGCTGTGGTCCATGTAGATGCAGTGCAGTTCCACCAATATCCACCACCAACTCACAAAAGCTGCTTTTCTAGATTGCTTGGGAGTATGCAGTACTGTATAATGATCATCTCAGATCTTTACTGGACATCACTGGTGAGCTTCCTTCCTGAGAAAACAGTTCACTTTTTTTTCCTTCTCTGCTTTTACAGTCATTTAAACAGTTACTGGTGTATGAAAGCCTTCACTCTTAGTACTGCCAGTTCAAGTTACAGTATTTTGTGATACATTACCTTGTTTTATATTGACTTTCTCAACTTACTACAGCTGTGTTTGTCTATTAATTCTATTATTTGATATAGTTTGTACCTTTTTTCCCATTATTTATTAGTTTTTTTCTCTATAATTCTTTTTAAGGCTTGGGTCACAGTTACCATCTTTTATCCTCTGGTACTGAAGCAGACTGATGGGAGATTACATTTCAGATCTTGGTATAATTTTTTTCTGATTCTGCTACTGCTTATTTATTTGTCCTGCCACTTATGCTGACTCTGGCTGTCCAGAATTAAAGTCTTAGGTTGGAATACTTCCTATGCTTCTTTCCAGATGAAGACAGAAAGAAAACTTATGTTTATTAGACTTCATGCTTCTGTAAGTTTTTTTCTTTAAGATGTGTTACTCTCTGCGTATGCATGGAGGTGGCTCACTGTTGTGACTGTTTGTTTCCATCAGGTAACTTATTGGTTTGGTTTAGGGGCCATGAGGTTTTGGGCAATGCTTTTCTTCCTAATAACTTCCTTAACTTGCTCTTTAATTCTTTCAGCTTCTTCCCTTTCAAAAAAGAATTAAGGGAGTCAGCTACCACTTGCTCTAAACTGCAACCTGCAGCTGTTAGAGACTTCTAAACTGAAAACAGAACAAAGCACCAAGGAGTCAAAACCCAAAAAGAACTGAGTAGAAAAGAACAAGTGGGGACTGACTATGCTGGAAGTCTGAGAGGGTTGAAAGAGCTGGCAAGTGCTGTGGGTTCCCCTACCTCCCCCATTCCTATTCCCTCGTGTTGGAATTACAGTCCAACAGAGAAAAGCTAAAAGCAAGAAGGTGAGGATGGACTGTTTGCAGCAGGCCCTCTTCACTGCTGCCCACTTAACAGTACTGTCAGCAGCAAATGTTTCTTTTGTTTAGCTCTCAGTCCGATTGGTGCAAGGTGTTCCTGTGCAGTACCTCTTCACTCACCATAGCAGTAGCACTGATAATCCAGCCCCCACCTGCCCCTCCAATCACCAGCATGTCTCCTGACTTGGAGATGAGGATAGAAGGCACCATTGCTGAGGGAGGCCTCTCTCCTAGGGCAAAGGCAGAAAGTATTATACCTCCTGTATTAGGGCACACAGATTCATTTCTCCCAGCTGTGCATTCCTCATGGAGAACCAACCTCATTCCTCTCAAGGCCCAAGTTTTCCAGACATCTAGATTGCTTGTGCTGAGACCCCACCTCACAAGAAACTGGCCCTTTACAGTAGAAGCTAAACAGGAAGGACAGAGCGCCATGCAAATAATCAAGACTTGCTGCAGGTCATTCAACCCAGATAAGGATCAACTAGCTGCAATCCTGCCCTTGGAGTGCTGATGTCCTCTTTCTTTGCAAACCCAAGCTTGCATCAGGAACAGCTTATTTCACAAACCCATGTTAAGTGGTTGCTTTACTTCTTCTCTTCCCTAACTCTCTTCCCTACTTCCTCATTAGCTTCTGCATTTTTTCTTTAAATCCCTAATTTCCCTTGTCAGAAACCAAAACTTCTGTGTTTCCATGCCGATGTGAACAGACACAGACACTACAAGACTTTATCCTCTCTTAGTCCAAGATAAACTTGCTCTCGTCTAGACTCTGAAAAGTAAAGATTGCCTACAGTTTGTAGATAGCTCCTGTCCATTCGTACATAGCCTGATCCTCCATCTTCTGGCCTTGTTGTCTATTTTGAGGTTGAGAATGCTCACCTGCATTAATATTTGCATTTGCCGTGCAGAAATCAGCAAGTTCATTATTCAAAATGATCCCAGTCTGGTTGGAATAAATGAAGGAGCCAAACCTGCAGGGAGGAAGAAAGCATCCTTTAAGTAACCAGCGCTCTTCCGCAGTGGGTGACATTAGCTTAATGTGGCACCCTGCTGGGTTACCCCTGCCTTCTGCCAACTTGCAGCCACTCCAACCAAGGTTTCCAAAACGTATTTGGTTTGTTGTGCAGGAGTTACAGAGAGCTCATTTCTGACAAGTACATGTTGGGATTTGCTCAACCCACAGAACCTCAGCAGAGCTCCAGAAGTTGTTACGTTTGTGAACTGAGGTGTTGCTTTGGGCTGATTCTCAAAGGCCTTTGCCATCACATGAAAAAGAGCATTCACAAGCAAGAAATTACTTAAATCGCTGAAAACTTATGGTTGTTTTTATTTTTTTTCATTGGTGTTAAACAGCCCTTGCATATATCCTGTAAGACTGTGAGGCCTGTGTTAGTGAAATACCAACCCCCTGGCTACTCACGGATAGTTGATGGTGCTGGTGGCAGACACAGCACTGCCATCTGCAGCGAGCACAGAGATGTGGCTTGTGCCTCTACTTTCGTAGTGGCTGTGGACGAGCTTCCAGAAGTTATAATGCTCAAGTGGATGGTCCCCACGGGCATCTATTTGGCTTCTGACACGCTCAGCAGTCCCGTTGGACAGCATGATTGCCACAGTTGCCTGTAATCACAGCAAGGGCCTGTACCATCAATATGCTTCATCAATAAAGCAGAGGGAATTAAGGAAAAAGAGGGGGACATTCAAAGCATTGCCCTTTGTCTTCCAAACAAACCATCACACATGATAAGCACTGCTTTCCTGGGAATGGCTGAACACCTGCCTGCAGTAGGAAGTAGCAAACGAATTTCTTGTTTTGCTTTACCAAGTAAACTGTCTCTACTTCAACTCACGAGTTCTTGTACTTTCATATTTCTGATTCTCCCCCATCTCATCTGGGTTAGAGTGGCTGAGTGGTGCTGAGCTGCCTGCAGGGGTTAAAGCACAACACTTGGCCAGCTGATCGATGTTGCTATTGAGTAGCAATTCCAAATAGTCTCTTTTCTTCTGTGGCTGCAAGGCAGGAGGGTTCAGTGCATCACCTGGTGCTGTAGCACTGTGCTGGCAGGCAGGGTAGCCTGGACAATAGGTAGCCTCCATGAGGGCTTAGCACATAGGCTAGAATATGTTCGGGAGAATGCAGGTAAGGAAATGGAAAAAAAAAGGAAAGGGAAAGCATATGGACTCCTTTGTTTCTCTTCTTTCAAGCAGTACAGAAGAAGCTGCCAGTGTTGCTGGTGTCTCTCAATACTCCCGTGCACTACAGTAGCTTACCTTAGCTTCAGAGAAGGCTGGGTCTTTCATCTCAGGTTTTAGCATATTGCCAAACTTCAAGGCCTCTGCAATAAGATGGTAGGTTTCTCCCTTTTCCTTTGGTGTCGACAATGATGCCTCATGGAATTTATACTCTAAAGAGGAGAATGGATTCATTTGGTTAATGGACCCACTGGCCATTGATTTTTCTTGAAGAATTTTATAAAATGTTTAAAGGAGCCTCCTTTTCCCAGTTCACTTCATAGAAGAGAATCACAGAATCATTAAGGTTGGAAAAGACCCCTAAGACCATCCAACCATCAGCCCACCAACACCATGCCCACTAAACCATTTCCCTCAGTGCCACTTCTGCACTTGGACATCATCAGGGACAGCAACTCTACCAGTTCAGTGAGCAGCCTGTTCCAATACTGTGACCACTCTTTCAGAGAAAACATTTTCCTGATGCTAGAACACTGTAAGAATAAGCCAGCTCCTCATGTGTTGCACAGCATAACCATAATGCTGCTTTGGAGTCCACACTGGCTCACCAAGACCCTTTCTGCCAATTCATTTTCTAATGCTCTAGATCAGTTCTCTTTGCAAACCTCTTGCAGCACACTTTCTCTTAGCAATTTACCTTCCAATATCTTGAGGATGAACAGGAGCACAGCACCTCCCAAGGGTGGAGGAGGAGAAAACACAGTGGTGTTTTTGTTCAGGGTAATGTTCAGAGCTGAGGATACTTCTGCTTTGTATGCCTTAAGGTCCTCCATTGAGATAACAGACCCTTCAACAGAAAACCAAAGAGACAGCTGTCATTAGCATGTTAACATACGCTTCTAACAGGTGCTATTGGCTGGACACATCAGAGCCTTGGGAAGCTTTCTGAAGAGCCATTTCTGTACACTGAATTTCTTCTACCTAGCACAACAGAGTCTTCTTGTGCCCTTATCTAACACAAAACTCTAGGACATTATAAAGCCCAAGGGAACTGAAAAGGCCAATATATGAGTGCTACGGGCAAATACCAGAGTAGTGGTTGGCTCTCATCCCTGCTTTTGGGCCTAAGTTACGAGAATGGGGGAAAGATGTTCACCCTGTATCACTCCAAGAAATGAGTAAATGCCATATTGTGGCTATCCCCAGGTACCTCCTTCACTGTCATCCAGTTGCTGGGAAGAAGCCTGTCTGCCAGTATTAAAATGTAGCTGTTACCTACCAACTTTCCTAATGTCTTCCACCAGGGCCTCTCCTATCTGTCCCTCATAAAATGCTGTAGCTCCATTTTCGGCCAAGATTTTCAGTGTCTGCTGCAGTGCTGGCCACCTGAAGGTCTTTCCAGTCGTCAAAAACTTCTGACCATCGCAAATCAATGGGCTGTAAAAGAAGGACATCCATCAGATTACAGGATATGCTTATTCTGTTCCCAGTGCCAGACCCTCTTTCCTACCTAGAGCAGATTTAGTTTCTGGATGTCATATACTTTCCAGACCAGTGCTATATTGCAGGGTACATGGAGAAGAGTAGCCAACTGCTACTCACAACACCAGGCACATTTTCCCATAGACAGAGTTTCCTCCATGAGACCTAATGCTTTGACCCCAGCTCAGACCAGAAGCGTGGCTTCCCTGAATAAGTGCCTGCTGTAGGGCCCTGCTGTCAGGGGACAATTTCCAAACAGACAGAGGCAGGCTACATCCATCCAGCTCTCATGAGCAGATGTGCTTAGCAAAAAGTTTTGCTGTGCCAAGCCACTATGAACAACAAAAAAAAGTTGCTGACAGTATAAGATTTCCAAAACAAACATTTCTGTAATTCTCTCTCCATAGCAAGCACTTACTGAGCAGCAGCTGCAGCAGCCTGTGCTATATGTTAGCAGAATGGTCTGAACTGAGGGAGCACTGTTCCTTGCATTTCAATTTAATTTGTGGGTCTTACCACAGGTTTCGTCCCACTTGGGAGAAGTTTCGGTGATTGATTATTTTGTCCATAACTGGGGAAACAACAAGTGGGTCTGAAAGGAGCTTGATGGTTGGTTCAAACAGGGATTTCCATGGCAAGCGGCCGTATCGCTTATGGGCTACTTCATACCCACGAATTTCTCCTGGTACAGCAATCCATCGGGGACCTGGAGAGCAGAACTGCAGTGTTACACCTGGTAAATCACTGGCCTGTGGAGTACAACTCTCTGAAAGCACTCAAAGTATGGATGCGTAGAGGCAGAACATGGTCCCCTAAAGGCAGTTTTCATTGTTCAATTGTTTCTTCCAATACAGAATAGGAATGGTTGAGGTGCATGGTAAAAGAACAAAAAGCAATGGGCACACTGCAGCAAAGGAGACTGCAGCCAGACATCAGAGAAAACATGTGCAGAACATGGTCAAACACTGAAACTGGGGTCAAGTAAGGCTGTGAAACTCTCCATTCTCAGAGAAGACAAAAAATGTGACAGGATAAGGCCCTGGGCAGCCTGCTCCAGTTCTGACATTACCCTACTTTAAGCAGGAGTTGGAGCAGAAACCTCCAACCAGAATCATTTGTGATTCCTTTTCAGCTGTTCTTCTAAGGGCAAGAAAATCTCCTCCAGGAACAAGGACACTCCCCAAAACAGAATGTGCTAGGGAAGGAGAATGGATACAGCAAGAAACACGGAAAGATCCAAGATGTGCTGCTAAAGTAAGAGTGCCTGCTGCCAACTGGTGAGAGCAAATGGACATGGAGTGACTGCAAGTGGTAGTGAAGTGACAAAGAGATAGCTAAGCAGATCTGAAGCTCAGCAATTTAGACAAAGAGGAAGGCCCCCAGTTCCTCCATTCTTCCTTCTGTGCACTACACACTCTGAGGTCCTTACCGATGGGTAAACGAGTACAGCCAGACAACAGATCGCTAGGAATGCCTTGGGGAGCTGTTTCACGGGCATTGATCACCTCAACTGTTCCTAGAAAAGAGAAGGAGAAAATGCATAACAGTCTCTTCCATAAGGCAGGTGAATATCACACAGCAAGTCAGCTCAGCAGACTGACCAGTGACTGCCTAGATGCAATAACGGTGCACGGACAAGGCCAGCATCTGTATCCCAACATCTGGGATATGCTGCTTCACATCTGATGCATCTTCTTGCATTTCCTCTGCAGGTGGGAAGTGTCAGAGACAAAACTTGAGTCTCATGCTACTAGATAGGTGATTTTCCAAGTGATGTTGAGGCAAGGTCATGTTCATACCATGCTTGCAACACCTACATCTCAAGAAACTTGAAAAGAAAAAAGGAACAGTCACACACTTGTATTTCAGGTGTAGCCTAATTATTCCTCCTCCTTATCTGCCTTCTATCTGTCTTTTTCCACTGCAGGCCACAGAGCTGTCTGTGCTGCAGTAGCCCATGGTGCTGCTGTACCATGAATGAGAGCCATGCCTGGCCACCTAGGGCTCTGCACAGCAGGATAATGTGGGTAGCAGAAGAGAAGGGTTGTTGGGAAAGTGGCTCTGCCAAAAGAGGGAAAAAAATATAGATGTTTTGCCAAGTTATGCTATTGCTTAAGAAACAACAGAGAATTTCCAGACTTGCAATTCCATGATACTACTTGGAAGGGTTTTTAAAACTATGATATTGTTATTTTGTCCGTCAACATCTATAAGCTCTGGGGGGTTTTGGTAGCCAAGGCAATTTAAAAAGCATTAAAACATAAAAGCAAGAACACGGTAATGCAAGAGATTAAACCGAGCAGAGAAGTACTTCCCAGCAGGCCCTGAAAATTGCTGGATTCAAATTTCTGAACAGAAGATGCATCCTCTGGACCAGGAGATTTCAGCACCACTCTGGGGAGTCTGACCCTCTCCCCCCCTCCACCAGTGATACTGTGAGATGCTCCCCATGGCACCAGGTTCTGCTGGAGCTGCTGCTGCTGCTGCAGGACAAACCCGTTAAGTTTTACCCCCAGGGCTCCACCAAACCAGTGACAGCCCTGGGCTGCTACCCTCACTGCCAGCACATACATCTTGCTCCACTCCCAGCTGCTGCCATGGCAGTGCTCCCTCCAAGTGGCAGCTTGGACAGGACCACTCAAATCTTGCTGTACCAGTCAGATATATGACTTTGAAATATGATTTGGGATCACTTTGCATGCCAAGGAAAGGTGCAGTCAGTTCATCTTTCATTCAAAGCTCCTTCCCTACCACCACATGTTCAGTCTGCAAAAAACTGCACTCTTCAGCCCTGCTCTGCACGCTAAAAGCTTTCAGGACAGCTCCTATAATTAATGCTTTGGATTAAGAGCAAAAGTGTATTTTGTGTGTCTTTGTATACAGCTTTTATATAAAAGAAATTACTCTGAGAGAACGTGAAAGAATTTGACCATGGAGAGTGCAGGGCTGGCCCATACCTGTGCTTGCATTATAGATTGTAAATACGACTCCACCACCCAGGCCTGAACTCTGAGGGTTCATCACTGATGTGCAGATCAAACCAGCGATGGCAGCATCCACAGCTGAGCCCCCTCTTTTCAGGATGTCCCTGGAGTGAAAAGGGAAGAAAAAAAGGACAATGTTAAAATCCAGGGATGAGGGAATGGAGGAGTCCTGTGAAAAATCACAGAATCATTGAGGTTGGACAAGACCTCTAAGGTGTTCTAGTCCAGCCATCCACCTACCACCAATACTGCCCTCCAAACTAAGTTCCTTAGTACCACTTCTACACTTGAACACTTCCAGGAACAGTGACTCAAAAACCTCCCTGTGCAGCCCATTCCAGTGCCTGATCACTCTTTTCAAGAAGATTTTCCTAATATCCAGCCTGAACCTCCCCTGGCACAATTGAGGCAATTCCCTCTCATCCTGTCTGTTATTCAGGAGGAGAGACCGACCCTCCCCCCACCTAGCTACAACATCCTTTCAGTGAATTGTAAAGAGCTGTAAGACCTACCCTGAGCAGTGCTGGTCTTCTTCTAGGCAAGAGGTCATGAGGCAAAGGGAACTGCAGCTGCTCACAAATGCTCTTGACAAAAAAGGATGGGAAGGAGCTGCCAGAAATGCAGAAGGATGCTCAGTGCAGAGGGGAGAGCGTCTACATGCTGGGAACCAAACAAATGATTCTTGACTCCCCACCTGCCATTCCCACTAAAAGGCATATGCTAATCCACAGGCCAGAGACATGGAAGCAGAAATAATGGGCCCACACAAAGCAAACTCCTGAGACTCACTGTCTCAATTAGCACAAAATTCAAACCTTACTTCACTGTTTATGCAGCGTGCCTTCCTGGGCTTCTGTAATATAAAAATACCCCCATCATCCTCAAATAAAGCAAAAAAAATACGAGAAAAAAAACTCACATCAAACAAGTAGAACAAAAATAAATAAACCACCACAAAATGATTGCTTCTGCCAAGGTACAGCCACACCAAAAATCACAAGGGCATTGAGGCAGACTCATGCTGTTGATAGAAGAAAATTTCTGCTGGAGAAACATGTCTCAACAAACCATCCTTCAAGCACAGCCATAACAAAATCTCCTTTCAGTGGAAACGTGATGCTGGTGAAGAGGGATTTCCTCATGCAGCGTGCCAGTGGCCAGCCCTGCTATTTGCTAAGGTTTCCAAGTGCTCAGCTTGGGGTATTGCTTGGAAAAGGCAAAGTCAGAATAGTAAGTGGAAGAACAGTTCATCGACTGGAGTGTAACTGCTCCCAGAGGCTGCTGCAGGAACACAGAGCACAGAGGGACTGCTGTTTATTTTACATCCATTGTTGTTGTTGCGACCCGCTGGGGCTGGGAACAGGATGCTACCCACAGATCCACTGATAGTGGTTTTCCTTTGTTTAAGTGACCTTGGACCAGCTGCCTGCAAGGAAATGGTATGTGGACAACTGGGGAGTAATGAAACCACAGGGATCCACGGGGCTTTCTGTTTGCAGCCCTGCACAGCTTTCAGCCTCCTAGCAGCAAGCTGCTCCCTGAATGCTGCCCTGAAAGCGGTGACTGAGGCTCAGGGTTACGCCTGCAGAAGACCTGGAAGCATATTAGAAAGCTGGAAAAGACTGAAGAGGACCACAACAGTGACCTGGGACAGTGATCCCCCAAGCCCATGTACAAAGCCTAGTGCCAGGGAGAAAAAAGGTCGTGAGATAAACTTAAGTGAAAAACAACTTTAAACGTAACGCAGCGCAATCAGATGTAAGAGAGGAAAATCAGACACATTGCTGTCATTTTCCCAAAGCCTGAGAAACATTCATAGGTATGAAGTGGTGGCACTCCTATACTGTCTGTCACCCAGAAGCCTTCCTGCCACTCCTCTTTGCCTCCAGAAACACTTGAGCTTGGAGAAGCCCTCCCTGGTGAGGAGCCCCATCCGTTCTGTGTCATAGCTAGCTGCATGCTACAAAAGGTGAGCAGTTCCTCCTCCAAAAGGTGAGGACAGTAAACATTTCTGTTTAATGTGTGTACACCTACGTTTCAGCTTCTGGATGGTGCTAAGATCATTTGGTGTTGCCAAATACTTGTTTATGTGTGAAAACACCCCTTACCTGCTGCTAATGCACTGCCATATATACAAGGCACACAAACCTGTTTCTAAACAAGAGTTTATGCACGATCCCACCCTCCAACACTCCTAATTAAAAACAGACAGAATAACACTGTCATTAACACTGACAGAACTTTGGCTCCCACTAAGATCAGGGAGGAGAGAAGAGGTCTGAGCAGGAAAGGTGCATCTGCCAACGTAACAAGACCTCTCCCAGGAGCTGAGAGCTGGGCTGTGACACAGAATCCCTATCAAGATCAAGGAACCAGTGGGAGGAGGACATTTGTCAGCAAAGAGGACTCAGCAGCACTGCCCCAGGCAAATGAAGTGCTTGGTTATGAGCTCTGAATTACCCCATCCTGCTTTGTTACCTGACAGTTTTCAGATGGATCACACCCAAGACGCTGGCTTTGTGATTGCCTCAGGAAGACAGGAAAGCCAGAGATAATCTCAATTGTTCTTGTGCCTCGTGTAGTGGGGCCCTAATTCCTGGCTGTGACTTCTTGGTGTTACCATAACACACAGCAAAAATAACAGCAGCAGCCAACACACGGACACCTTTTCACAGAAAAGCTAAGCATGTTTTGCTTTGTCCTTGGTCACTACCCATCATTAAAACCACTCTGCAATACAAACAAGACAACAGGAGAAAGAAAAGGTTTCCAGGTATTTCAGAAGTGCTCTACATTCCTCTCTACTGTGTGGCAACTGTTAGTCACTGTCACCTCTGGCAGCAAATACCACATGTAAAGATATGCACTCAAACTTATTTCTTGCTCAAGGGAAGGGGGCTTTCCAGGTACCTGCTGCCTTCCACTGAGCCACCACAGAACGGACAGTAAAGCTCCCCACCTACCTCCACAGCGTGCAACATCTGAGAACACATCAGATAGGATGGGTTACATGATGCTGAGCATGGCCCTTTACCACTGTTTCTATGGGGAGCAGAGGTTAGGGAGGAGGAAAGCTGAGATTTCTCCCCCAGAACCATTACATTGGTTCTTCAAAGCATAGCAGGAAGCACGTCCAGCCCCAGGTCTCAAATATACATACTCTGGGGGGCTCACCAACTAACTGATGTTGTTTCCAGGCTCTGGGGAGGTGTATGTCCCTGACATCCCAGCACTCCTGGGTCCCAAGACATGGGACAGAGAAGCAAAAAGAAGCCTTAGAGTCAGGCTTTGAGCTCAAGCTCAGAAGTCATGGATCCCAGCAAGGGTAAAACCAAATCGTGGTCTCGGTTACTAATGACTTCTTAGGAGCTGTTTTCCCCTTTTATCTCTGAGGCCTGATATGTGTCTCTATGATTAGAGCAGGGTCCAAGGCCCACAGCCACACTCTGCTATCTGCAGACTGGCCCCCAGTCTCGACAGCTCCCCACTCTCCCTCCAACCTATCTGAAGGACAAGGGAAAACACTCTCTGATCCATTCTCTTGGCACATCACACTCAGCTCCCCATGCCTGACTTGGCTGCATTCAGCCAGAGTCCATGCAGACTTGGCTGCATTCCCCACTTCCCTGTGGAATTCAGGGCCATTACACCTTTCTTGACCAGCCAATCTGAAGGAGCACTCCCTGTTTTATTGGTTTGCCTTCCTTTATTTGGATCACTGCTACAAATAATTATAATGCCAAACAGTGGAGAAAATCATAACCCTACAAGCAAAACAGTCTGGTACCTTATCAGGTTCCTCTGGAGACAACTTAGCACTACAGCTGGCAAGACTTGATAACAATATCCTTCCTGCCACTTAGTTTCAGGTTTAGGGTTCTGTCATTAACAACATTTCCTTAAAGTCAGGAGCAGAAATAGCATTTCCTTACGGAAGAGGACGTAACAATCAGGTCTTGTTCCAGCAGCAGTGAAAGGCTGCTTCACCCGCCCAGGAAGGGTGAATATCAGCACTTCTTCACACCCTCCTTACAGCCAAGTCGAGCAGCTCTGGACTGAAGTCTGCAGTTCTGCTCTGGACTAGGAGGAGCTGATGCTATTTTAAATACACTTGAAACGTGCTGGGTTTTTAACTTTTTTTCCCCCTCTTTAAGACCACCTATTGCATAGGAAGCTGCCTAAGATTGATGAGGAGCAAAAGCAGCATCTGCTTCTGTTAAAAAATAGTTACCAATTTTAGAACTACTGAAAGACAAGATGGGAAGGCAAATCCTTTGGGATATAAAGATTTTTCAGAAATGCTGCAGGGTCATCACCGAAGAGGGTTTTCACAGCAGATCTTTTGCTTAGAACAGCTTCCCAGGAAACAAACAAGTTTTTTTTGCTATTAAATTCTCACCCTCCCAGTGTCTTGTCCTCAGGGGGGTCTTTGTTTCAGAGGAAGCCAGTTCCCAGGGTTTATACTGCATTGGGGATGTGAGATCTGAAGAAGCTGCAGGGCCAGGCCAGCTCAGCTCACCTCTCTGCAGCAAATCTCACTGCTGAGAATGAGCCCTTCTCCTAAATTCCTCCCCGGCTTCGTGCTGGCTCTTGCATCTGTCATTTGGAAACATAGGTGAGGAGCAGTGGCTAGCAGAGTTCAAACAGCACACAGGAAGGGCATTTAATGCTTTCTGCACTGTTGATGGAAAAATCCTCCTCCACTGCCAGGAGGAAAAGAGGTTCAGAGCTGGAGGTGAACGCTGGGTTGGGTACTGTTTGCTGCCAGGCAATCAGCTCCTATCTTCTCATGGATTCCTGACATGAGGACAAATTAACTGAGGTGGCCTTCAGTACCACATCCACGTTCTAAAACCTGCTCTGTCTTCTCTTTTAGCCTCCCATCCCTTCTCACTGAAGTTCATCGAGGGGCAAGGTTTTGCCAGAGTAGGGCCCCTGACTGTGCCTGAGAGGACAGACACTCAGTTGCTCAATATTTACTTTCAGTCCCCAATTTCTAGCAGTACAACCATCTGCAGCAAGAGAGTCAGCCTCATTCAGCACTGCAAATCAGGCGCCAATAGCTAAGAGCCAGTCTAGCACAGGACCTGCCAACAAGGATGATGATGCTGGAGGCTTGCCGAGGTCGCTGGCTTTCTGCAGGGAGCCAAAGAGTTGCATAAAAATTTCAGACAATTCAACCTCACACAACCCTAGAGTATACAAGCACCATCTCCAGAGATGGGAAACTGAAGCCTGAAGATAACAGCTCAGCACAAGTTAAGAAAAAGTAGCAAATGGGAGTTGTGGCTCTGCTCCCCCCCTCTCCATGTTGTAATAAGGAATTAGAGTTATGTGGTTCCCTTGCTGAGCCTTCCTTCACAGCTGAGAAGTGATGGAATTCAGCAATACAGGCATCTTGAGATGCTTTCCCAAGCTCACCATCCCACTTATTAAAAGACACTATTGCACTTAGCACAAGAGATTTGGTTCAGTTGCTCTCATTAAGTTCATTTAAAAGCTCTGTTGGGGAGCACCAAGATTCAGCTTCATCAACCACTTAAACCATCATGTAACACCTCAGAAATTTCATTACTGCTAATGACAACTCACTGCATATTGGCCAGCAACGTGGTTTGGGCTGTTAGTTTTCTGTTTCGTAAAGGAAATTGGACTTTTGATTAAAGAATGAAGTTCATAAAGAGGTTAAAGATCAGGTGCTGCATTTAACTTCAAATATTTCAGGCACTGAGCCCACTCTGCACTTGGAGCTTCTCTGTGCATCCTTTGCATGGGCTTCTGAGAGCCTAGGGGGATTTGCAGGATAAAAAAAGATGGCTGGGGGCTAGCCCAGGGCCCCAGCAAACAGAGGGACTGCAGAGTCATTGGGGGGAGCAGGGACAAAGTGGCACTATTGAATCCCCCCGTGCACTTGCCTCTGGGGACTGGTTGCCATTACTCCACTCTCACCAGGCAGGCAGGTTTAATCACAACACGTTGTTTTCATTTGATTGTATAACTTTGCAGTGAAGCCTAATTAGTTTGTTTTTCCCATTGTGGAGGTTACTCTTTACATATGTTTCCACTAAAAGCATCAGCAAGAATGCATTTGAGGAAAGTTGTTTTGCTTATTTTACTTATTTTTAAATTCCTCTAGGAAATTTTAAGTGTGCATGTCTAAAGCCAGTGGTGGTCTGCCTGCAGTTCTGACAACGCACTTGAATTTAGCAAAGCTGTTTGCCTTGAGGGGGAAAAAAATGTAAACTTTATAATTTTTATTTTATATACATCTATGTATTGTATGTATGTGTGTGTGTGTGAAGGAATGCATTATCCATCTTTGATAGATTAATTCTCTAGTGATTTTTTGGCAGTGACGGTAGAACTTAGCCTGTTCCATCCCTGAGCTGTGGGGCCAAGCACAATTCCCCCAAAAGTCTGTTTGTCACAGCTTTGGGTGTCAGAAAATAATAAAGAAATTACTGTCTTGGAGCTTGGTGCTCCCCAGACACAGCTTGCAAGTGGAGAGGCCAGCAACGTCCTGCCTCAAACACAGAGGATGTGGATAAGGAGTGAGGTGACCGAGCTGCAAAGACAGGCTCAGGGCAGAAGAAAACCTGTCGAGTTAAAGAGCCTGTGAGCAGGGGGTACAGGGTACAGCTGGGTACAGCATTTGGTAGGATGAGAAGAGCAGCACTAGTGACTGTACAGGCTCTAACAGCAGCACAGGGAAATGTGAACAAACAGACATGATAGGAAACGGCCCAGCAAGGACTCAGGAATTGCAGTACAAGTCCCAGCCCTTGCGTCACTGGGAATCTCATTGCTCATTACACCTTTCTAACTCCTCAACTCTCTGCATCAGCCCAGGCCCAAAGAGACAGGATAAAAATTTGCAAATGTTTGCATAATTGCAGAAAAACAGTGAAGACCTAAATACAGTACTTACTTAAAAATAAATAAATAAATAAATAAAAACCACCCCAAGTTGATAATTTCTTTTTGTTTCCTTCCTCCTACATCTCATGACTTTGGGAGTTAATTATTTCTGAACAGAAGAAGTCAACAGCATTGTTGTACTCTTAAAACCACTCAACTGGCTGGGCACGGTATGGAAAGGCATCAGGGCTGTGCACAGAAAGATGCTTGGCTTTGCAGAACCTGAAATTAGGTGGCAAATGAAGTGGAAGCTCACAAGTGGCAACAAGGACCTAATGGCTAAGACTGCTCGGAGAAATTGGATTTCATTGCTACTGCTGTGACAAAATTCCTGTGTGAGAATAATGATCTCAGCCTAGGTTAAGCAAGAAGCCTAACTTGGGGCCCAGCATAAAAAAATCTCACTTCTTGATGTGCACACAGCCACAATGCGCCTTCACCAGTTACTCACAAGTGCTGTGTCAGTTTGTCACTGCACAGTCCGCAACAAGAAGTGTGGTGCAATGACACCAACACCTGCCTCGCTCCTCCAGCCACAGGGTAGAGCACACAGCTTCAACATTCACACGTACTGCATGTAGCTTGTAAAGGTTTAAGTTCCATCCTTCCATTTTCATGCATACAAAGGTTTAAGAACTGAAGTAATCTCAACAGTAAGAGTTAAGAGTTAAAATACATGAGAAATAAGTTGTTGTGCAAACTAGAGTCTTATGACCAGAGCAGCTTGAGGATTTTACACCTACATCTTTCCTTCCAAGCAACATAAGCATGCCTTCTATACTTACACCATCTTGGTTGAGTTTCAATTACATCTACGCTTTGCTTTCCAATGCATTGTGCCTTTCCTGAGTGCAGGTATGCCTACTGCAGGCTTTAGTCCAGAAATGCACTCCCTAAAGGCTGGGCTGTCCATCCCTCCTTATCCCATCCACCTGCTTGCCTTCCTCACCCCTGCTGAAGCCTGGCTGCAGCTCCCTGCTAGATCCTCTCCCACTTTTCAAGAGAAATTCCTAAGCCACTTATCCAACAGACTTACCACTATGAAGTAAGTAGTTGATTTCTTTTTTCCACTGTTAAAAATAACATTACGTTCACATTCTATAAATATTTGCAGCTTCCCATAGGCCACTCATGTGATATTAGGTAATTAAGATAAGCATCAGAGGAAGATCCCCATCAATTTTCTGAGCTGCTCTGCTGCCAATAAGCACCTGAGGAGCAGCAGCTTTCCTCAGCCCAAGAAACAGGGATGAGGCAGAAACCCAGCTCGCTCCCAGTCACTGCATGTACCTGACCACCAACCCAAGCCCACGACACACACAACACAAACTGTCAAACCAAGAGGTCTGTGCACGTACCGGCCGATGTTAGAGCAGGTCTCGGTGTCAGCAGCCACAGCTCCATGCAGGTACTGCTGAGGACCACACTTGGGTTGAGTCAGGGTGACCAGGAGCACAACCACAGCCGCCAGCACCCCGAGGGTCAGCAGCACCAGGCAGCAGATCCTTCCTGTCGTCATGCCTGCTCCTGCACGGCCAGAGGTGCCTGGGAAGCTCTCAGTCCTCCTGCGAAGGCGTCTGCTTTGCTGCGGGGGAAGTGGAGGATCCTGCAGGGAAGGGAGGAAGGGAGGTCTCACTGAAGCGGGTTCTGCCTCCTGTGATCGACAGTTACATTTCTGAAGAAAAGCTGAGACAAAGGTAATGCTGCACTTTCTCTTCTCTGCTCTCTAATGTGTGACACAGCTTTCGCTTTCTTTTATAAACTAATTTTCTGGCAAATCCTCCTTATACCCCTTTGTTTTTTGGTTTTTTTTTTTGTTTTAAGTCTCTGATGAAAACATTTAACGCATTCATTGCTGGAGCACTTCAAAGTGAAATCCCAACACTGGTTTTTGGTTTCAAGCACTTTCCCTGTCCTTCCATTCTCACTGCATGCAGCAAGCTACAAAGCAAAGACAGCCCACGTGTTGAATCCCTGGGAAAACCACAGCACTGATCCTGCATTACACACAGGATACTTTCCACAAGGCTATTCAAAGAAGTAAAAGCTAATCACTAAAGAAATAGAAAGCTAGAACTTTCTCATTTACCCTATAGTTTACTCCACCTTTCTTAATGACTTGCTTTAAATCTTGCCACTGCCCATGCCATGCATCTGTAAAAGAGCATAACAAATAATTAAATGTAATGAAACAGCACATTTCTGCAGCTCTACACAACTCAAGAGTTAAAAGCTCTGGGGTCCAGCTTGGATCACTCAGCAATCACAGCACCTGGGAAGCAAAGGGCTCTTGAATAACACAGAGCAGATTCCCAGCACAGCACTATTAGCAGCACAGCTGGCCCCAGTTAGCTCTATTAGAGCTCTTGAACACACAGTTCCTCTTACACTCAAAAAGTTAAAGATAAGGCTTTATATCTGCCTGCTGCCTTTATCAAAGTTATTACCTGTGATCACTTCCCAGCTAAATTTCAGGGGAGGATTAGGCTGGGCACACTTTTAACTTGCACCCACTAAACTGCACTTTGTAGCTGAGTAATGCTATTCCACGTATCATACTTCTATAAACAGATTTGATAGGTGAGCACGTGTTTTCTGTAGTTGTATCTTCCCATAAGGTCATGTGGTGGAAGTGAGAATACTCCAAGAGAAATATATTGTATTGTCCCAGATAAACCATGGCCCCTGGGGAATCATTTCTTGGTCTCCATGCCTCCATCTCACTTGGTAACACCAGGTATATCTGCCAAGCCTCCCCAGCTCTAATGTGACTCTGCATTTCACCCCATTGCAAAACAACCTGGATGACAGGTTGGCCATGAGCCAGCAGTGTGCCCTTGTGGCCAAAAAGGCCAATGGCTTACTGGGGTGCATTAAAAAGAGCGTGGCCAGCAGGTCGAGGGAGGTGATCCTCCCCCTCTACTTTGCCCTGGTAAGACCTCATCTGGAGTACTGCGTCCAGTTCTGGGCTCCCCAGTACAAAAAAGACAGGGATCTCTTGGAAAGAGTCCAGCGGAGGGCCACGAAGATGGTGAAGGGCCTGGAGCATCTCTCCTATGAAGAAAGGCTGAGTGAACTGGGTCTGTTCAGCCTTGAGAAAAGGAGACTGAGAGGGGACCTGATCCAGGTCTATAAATATCTAAGGTGTGGGGGGCAGAATGGCAAGGCCGGACTGTTTTCAGTGGTGAGTGGAGACAGGACAAGGGGAAACGGCTGGAAACTGCAGCATAGGAAGTTCCACACAAACATGCGCAAGAACTTCTTTACAGTGAGGTGACGGAGCACTGGAACAGGCTGCCCAGGGAGGTGGTGGAGTCTCCTTCTCTGGAGATGTTCAAGACCTGCCTGGATGCCTACCTGTGCGACCTACTGTAGGGAACCTGCTTTGGCAGGGGGTTGGACTCGATGATCTCTGGAGGTCCCTTCCAACCCCTACAATTCTGTGATTCTGTGATCCCTGATCTCATCAGATTTCTCTGTGTGACTTTCGTATTTGTTTCTTTCTTTCCACATTATTCCATAGCACCTAAAGAATCAGTTACAGTGGGTTTAGGGAAAATCATTTCCTGTAAATAACTGCAAACCCTGGCCATCAAGAGAGTCGAGTGGATTTTGCCTGTTTGCTTTCATCAAATGCCATGGAGAAGTTAACTGCAATCTCCAAATTTCTTTGAAATTCACTTTTCAACTCAGCAGGTCAAACACCTGTAAATATACAGTAACTGTTGTGCTGCCAAAGAGAAGTCCTGGAAGTGGCAAGAAAGAGAGCAGAGAGCATTAACCCCCAGACCACTTCTGGACATGCCAAGATGTGGTTGGGATCCATTGCAACAGATAATTCCCACAGGCAAACCCTTCACACACACAGGAATGAAGGCTGAGCTACCTTCCCTTTCTTGGTGCAGCCTTCACAGTCTTGTTGGTACAGTTCTCGGCTTTGAGATATTACACTGCAAAGTCTGCACTGGCTATATCTAAATTATACTGTTAAATATACATATTTTAGTATTTGCTTAATTAGAACTACAATTATTAACATAATTTATTAACTAATAAATAGGAACAGAATCTTTACATTGTTCTTTATGCTGTTTGGGGTCCCATTACATCTTTTTCCAACTCTTCAACTGAGACTGAGCTTGAAAACTGTTTAACAATTGAAGTACAGGCATAACTAAGGTTAACACAAACACCCCAGTCACCTTATAGGCAGTAATAAATCATTGAGGGGTACAGAACCTCACATTTTAAAGGCATAGCATCACTACGGAGTGGAGGAGTTGGGAAGAAGTTCCCTTGCAGGCAGCTTACTGCAAATCGAGGAGCCACTCTCTGAGAGCACTGGGATCAGTTTGCTGAAGCAGGATCCATGGCAGTACAGGGCCAGCATCACGAAAACAAGGTTTACTGCCTTGTCTGCAGCAAAAGGGGAGGTTTGTGACATTTTTCTCCATGCCTCTTTTTCTTGAGCACAGTTTCCCATTGGTTGAGGGAAGGAGAAGAACATCACTGGACAGAAAGCCAGACACTTCTGCCCAGCAGAGAAAAGCTACTCCACTGACCCTCAATTTATCACTGTTGTTTCATCTTTGATAAAAATAAACTAAAAGAACTCTAAGCACACTCCAAGCATTCTCATGGTAGCGTCCTGACCATCCTTCCTTGCCTTTTGTCTTTGCACTTTTCAGTTCACATTGCAACATACTCCAGGGGCTGCACTGTTCTGCTGGTGTTTGACCGCAGCGCAGTGTCTGCAGTCACTGTGATCTTACCGTAACAAATAAGAAGTGCAGTTTATATTTCTCAACACTAAATGAAGTTTAAATTGCTGGATAAGAATCTAGGAAGGTTTCCAAAAGCATGCAGCCGAAGCCAAATTGGATGCACTTCATACACTGTTTGTTTCCCCCTCCAATCATGCTACAATCCAGAAACATCCCTTGTCTTTATATAATAACCAAATAAGAAGAATCGAGGCAGCATTCTATGAATTTAATGTTCAGATCTTGTAAGAGAGCAATCAAAGGATGCAGGCCACAGATGTTGGTGCTCGTGATGCACCAGGAAGGAAAAGCCTAACCTTTGCAAATGCTCTTCTTTGCACACAGGCAAATTTTCTTTACTGATGGCCATGATTTGCTCCCACGAAAAAGAGATACTCAGAAATTGCAAATCCTGGTACCAAATAACTTCTCATTCGTGCACTTGTGACAAAAACTAAACCCATAATCTCTCCTAAATTCAGGAAAATCAAACTCTGTTTCATTTGTTATTGAAACAGTCTCTAGAATTACTCATTACTTATATGTCAGCATTCAAAGCTTCCTATGACAGAGCAGCCACACTCAACATTAGAATAAAAGTGAAACCTCCTGGTGCAGTATTTAACTCTTTAGTCTGTTTTGAAGCAAATGCAGTGGGAAATGTTTTCTTAAAGACTAAACCTCATTCATAGCATTACTGCAGTAGCTTGAAATACTGGTGCTAGGAAAGAAAAGGGAGTCTTTTGTGCATCCAAGGACACCTGGAGTAAATGCTGTCTGAACTCTGTTTCGACTAAATTAGGCAAAAGTACCATGGTAGTGACCACAGAGGATATCCCTAGAGGGTATTAACTTACTTGAAAGCACTAAACTCGCTGAAAGCGTTAAATAAAATGCATTTTATAATTAAATACACATCTACCTGTGTATGACAACTTACATAGCTGCCATTGTAAGCTTTGTAAGACCTCAGCAAGACAGTCTGTGATATTATTCCAGTTGAATTTTTCTATTACTAAATGCAATAAAGCATTGCCAAAGTCAAAAGGAGTTACTGTTATGTTATAATGAAATCAGTAAATAGAGAATATGGCTCGAACCCACATACCCTTTGGGAAAACATCCATTTCTAGGGATGTTTTAAATGCTATACACTACAAACATGATGGTCAATGACTAACAGCCCTGTTCAATCCTGAGACAGCACGTGAGTATAAATAACAAACATCTGCTCTGCCAGTGCTTGCAACAAATGAAGAGCTTCCAAGTCAAAAGATCTCTGGCAAGCCAGTGCTCCTGGGTGCTCACTGGGATCCCAGGCTGCAAAAGCCCATGTCTACTGCTGGGATCCCCAAGCACAGTGCCAGCCTTTGGCGTGCTGCACTGCTGTGCTGGAGTGGAACTGTTCTGCTGGGGGAGGCAGCTCAGCTGCTCAAAGAAATCTCACTTTTTGCAGCTCAGGCAAGGCCTGCCAGAATCGTCTGGGTCAGAGAACTGGCTAGAAAGTAAGAATCACAGTTTGAAGCATTTATATTTTGGAATTCATTTACATTTCGGAGTTAACTAAAAAAAAATCCCAACTCACTCAGTAATCTGTCTCTGTTTAGTTCTCTAATTAATAAGACGCTTGCCAAGACAGGGAGCCAAGAATCAGACTTAAATCCAAACTTTAAAGCCAGATTCTCAGCTGGGTAAAAGTCAGAGGATTGCACTGATATCAGCAGAGCTCATCTGCTCCATAGTGGCTGAGGACCCGAGGTTTTGCTTGTTCCCTGCAAGGTAGGAATACAGGAGAAAATTATCTAAAAGCAGAGAACAACCAATTTTCTCTTCCCTTCTTCTCTCTACTTCTGCCATCGTATTTTACGGAACCTTAGCGAATTATTTACGTTCTTTAGAAGACCTCACTTGACACTGATGGGAAGCACTCCCATTAATCTCAACAGAGACTGACCTACGGCCTCACAGCCTGCCCCAGCCATTTGTCCACGAGACTTTTGCACTCTTTTGGCCATCGTGTAGAGCAGGAAGTTCAAAGACAGCATAACTCACTCCTCTGGCTGTCCTGACCTACACGTCTCAGCACTGCTGAGCTGGAAGCAGAGGAGCTAATAAGGCAGAAAGACACGTTCAAGTGCTCCCAGCTATGGTCAGAGCAAGAGCTGCATACAACTTCATCATTCCCAGGCAGGGGAGGCTGGAAGACCTGTGAGCTTTGTGCTGGGCTGGGCTGTTGGTGGCTGAGAGCAGGGCAGGCAGAAAGGAGCTGCTGTGCTCAATGGAGCTAAGCCCTGCTCAGGAATAGCCTCCCAGCGACAGCTCAGGACCTCAGGGAGGGAATGGAGATGTGAAAAGCAGTATATAAATGGTGGCAAAACCCACAGGTTTGCC